ACACGCACATGCGCATGTGCATGTTCAAAGGGCAAGAGTTTCTCACAAATTTCCCAATTTCTTAGTATTTTCCTTTGTAAATTTTCAATTTTTGTTGGGAGAGTGATTGGCAGTCACACTTAAATCAGGATTCAAGCGTGAGGATTTTGAGCACTTGCTCTGTGCTAGAGCCTGTTCTAAGCATGATACTTTAATCTTCCTATGAAATTATATTTATAGCCCCGTTTTACAGATGAGGAGACTGAGGTACAAATAACTTAACTAGCTTGCCCATGGAACTGAGTCAGGACTTTAACTCAGGCAGTCTGGCGCCTGAGTGGGCCCTCTTAACCTCTGCTGCTGGTCTTCCATGGGGATGGATTAATGTAGCGCCAGCCAAGGCTTTGCCTTGTGACATCCAAGCTTATGAGACATTGACAAGAAGACAGGCGGGTAGGGTGACAAGGGCAAAGCATTAACTGCCAGGCCTGCTGTCAGCAGCATCTGATACCAGACAGGAGACTCTAATGGGCTCCTCTCAGGGCAGGACGGGCTCTGTGTGGTTAGTGATGGAGGGATGGGAGGAATCATCGTTTGTGAGCCCAGCCCGAATGCGGACTAATGTAATTGCTCTTCTGTGAGTTTGTCTGACATCTGATATTCACTGGCTGGTGGGAAATTCTATCCTGCATTTTCAGTCCACTTATTTGAAGTCCTTCCAGGGGGAACATTTGGGTGGCCAGAGCGACTCCGGATCAGGAACCACGAGATTCTTCCCAGAGGCCGCTGTCGGGCTGCCAGTACCCACTTCTGTGCTCATCTTCCCACACTTCTGCGTGGCCTGCTTTCCTTTGCTCGGATTGGCCAGCTTGCCCTTGAGGCTCAGTCCCTGTTGTAGGCCCCGTGAAAGATAACTTAGAAGGACAGATCTGAAGGTCAGAGGGGGTGAGCAGGAAGCAGAACGAGAGCATAAGAAGGTGGAACCTCAGGCTCCAGGTACAGTCCTGGGCTTTCGTGAATTGTGAGCATCTTGAGTTTCAGTAAAAACAAGGCCAGTGTCTCCTATCTGGTGTCCACGCGTGGCTCTTCCCTTGAAAACACAGCTTTCCTCTAGCTTCTCCTAAAATACAACACAGCCACTTCTTCCTGGGGTCGAGAGAGAACGAGAAACCGATTTGAAGAGTGTCTCCGCCCACTTGGGTCCGGGGTGAGCTCGCAGGCAGGCGGCCTCCTGCTCCGTGGTTGCCGACAGGCAGGTCGCCAGCCTTGGGGACCTGCCACGTGCTTCCTGAGCCACAGGTATTTCTCACCCTGGGTCTCGGCTGCCGCCTTGCCCGCTTCCATCCCTTTGCACCTCTTTCTTCCTCCTTCCTGAACCCGCCCCTCACAATGCTTTCAGTCCTTGTCGCCTTCCTACCTAGTCCCTCTCTTACGAAGAAGCGTGCCTTCAGGAGAACCTGAGAGTCCTGAGTGCGTCTCTGCTTGCATGCCCGGGAAAACACAGGGGAGTGAACATCCAGTGTATTTTTACCCTGGGGAGTGGTTTTCGGCGCTTTGTTTATTGCTTACAAAATTCACAACTGGAGAAGGAGATGTTTACGAGTCAAGGTCAGGAAGCACGCAGTCTAAGATTAAGAAGTGGCCGCAGAACCGTCATTGTCTGCCTCCGGAGCCCACACTGCGTTTTCGGGCAGTCATGGAGCCCCCTGGGCTTTCTCACGTCGTAGTTCTGATTTCACACAAACTGGATGTTTTGCTTGTCCTTCACATTTTTTTTTTTAAATGGGAAAGCCAAGGATGGTCTCCTAGGGCTGGAGATGAAGCTCACGGGCGGAGCGCTTCCTAGCCAGCGTGTGCGGCCCTCGGTTTTAGCGCTGCCGCCGCCAACGAGAACAAGAACAACAAACAGCAAATAACAAAGAACCAAAAACTGAAAACAACCTTCCAGCTTTCTTGTCTCTGGAGGAGCAGGTCTTTCCAGAATAACCAGGATGACTTTTTTAAAACTGGAAGAGAACCTGTAACAGTGTTTTATTATTTAATGAAAAAAATTTAAACCGTGGAACTATTTCTTCAAAAATGATCCTGGAAGCCCCGCGATACACAGGAAAGGTGGGGCTTGAAGAGGTGAAGGTGGAACTCCAAGGCCTGGCCTCTCTACCTACACCCCTTGCAGCCGGCTGTTTCAGGGTGGATTCTGTGGAATATCCCCTGAAAGCTCCTGATTGTCTTTCCTTGTGGAGATAATCAAGCCAAGGCACGGAAGTGAAGTCAGAACTAGCGTCCGGGTCTCGCAGGCTCCAGCCTGCAGCTTTCCACAGAAGTCCTGTTTAGTGTATCTTCGCACAAACGCTGAGGACACTTGGTCTGGGAAGGTGGGGAGGCAAAGGTCGAAGGAGGGCTGTGCTTCCTCTTTCTCTTCTTCCCGGTCATCACCAGCCTGTGCTCCCGACAGGTTCCTCTGTGGAAAGAAAGCAGGGGAGGGGAGGACCTCATCGAGAATACAGAAGGAGTAAAGGCAGAGGTGGAGGGCATGGTTAGCAAGGGATCAGTTTTGGTGACACCCATAGGAAGAAAGAGAGGAAGAGACAGGAAGCGGGGAAGTGAAAACAGCGAAGAAGCTGCTGTCCCAGCTCAGGCCCAGGCCCACGTTCCCCTCGCGCGTCCCTCTGAAGAGCTCCTGGAGCCCTTCCCAGGCTGTTTCTCAAAGGAGGAGCAGTGAGTGTGTGCACAGGCTACGGAGGGCCCTGCGGCATGGGAGAGCCAGGCGGAGCAGTCCTCCTCAGCGCACGGCAGCGACCCCCGCTGGGCCGCAGATCCCGCCCTGGGAACCTGGAAGACACGAAGATCTCTAAGGGCCCTTCCGCTCTGGCAGCAGCGCCTGGAGCAGCAAAGCTGTGGTTTGGGAGGGGCACGTGTGGGCTGCAGGGCACCTGGAATTGTAGGCTCAGTAGCTAAGAGGTACCAGGCATTCTGTAGGGTAGCAATCCTGTTTCATAGGTGAGAAAACTGGACCTAGAAAGAAAAGGGACTTTTCTGCTTCTTTCAGCTATATTCTTCTTTTTCCTCTGAACTCTACGGCATCTAGAGATTAGTTCAAAGCAGTTCTGTGTGGTAGAGAAGCTTTTTGGTGTTTTTATGAATACTTTAATGCCTTTCAAAGTGTTTTTTCTTTTCTTTTCTTTTTTTAAATAAAAATAGCACATACAATGTCATAAAAATTTCCATTAATATGGGAAGTGAGAAAGTACAAAACTACAAATTGTCAGTGTCCTACCCTTACCCACTTGGTCCCCAGGGGCTTCTCCTGTTAACAGTTGATTGTGTATCCATTTTAAGCTTTCATTTTTCTCTTTCTCCTCCTTCTTCTTCTTCTCCTTCACCTGCTCCTTCCTCCTCCTCCTCTTCCTCTTCCTCCTCTTCTTCTTCCTCCTCCTCCTCCTCTTCCCCTTCTCCTTCTTCTTCTTTACCTGCTCCTTCCTCCTCCTCCTCCTCCTCTTCCTCTTCTTCCTCTTCCCCCTCCTCTTCCTCCTCTTCCTCTTCCTCCTCTTCTTCCTCCTCCTCCTCCTTTTCCTCCTCCTCCTCCTCCTCCTCCTCCTCTTCTTCTTCTTCTTCTTCTTCTTGTTTTTTTTTGTGATAGTGTCTCCATGTGTAGTTCAGGATGGCCTTAAACTCACTATGTAGCCCAGACTGGGCTTCAAGTTGTGGCAATCCTCCTGCCTCAGCCTGCTGAGTGCTGGGATTACAGGCATGTGTCACCACACCTGGCCCTCTTTTCTTGTTTCTGTGGGACTGGGGATCCAAGCCAGGACCTTCACACTGAGCTACATACCCAGCTGTTTGTGTGTTTTAAATTTTGGAAGAGGGCCTCACTAACTTGCCGAGTTGCCCAGGCTGTCTTCCTGCTTCAGTCTCTCAGAACATGTGCATGCACTACCATGCCCTGTTCTACCCTGACCTTTCTGATGAACGCACAAACATATATTATCTTTCCTCCCTCCATAGATGGGACTATGATATAAATTACTCAAATACACACTTTAGAATCAAACACACGTGGATTCTAGTCCAGACTCAGAGCTAGTTATTTGAATGACCTTGGCCGAGTTACTCAGCTACTTTTTAGGCTCAGTTTTCTCATGTGTAAAATGGGAATAATAATAGTATCTACCTTATAGAATTTTGGTGAAGAAAGTAAGAGTCCCTGGCACATAGTATGCAGTAAAAACACACACACACACACACACACACACACACACAGTGTGTATTCAGGGAGCACAGAGTGACTTAGAAGTAAAGTAAAAATGAGATTCCAAGTTTTCTGACCTCCAGTCTCCTGATTTCTGTTGTAGCATTTTTTTCTCCCTCAGACCCCCTTGGGCCCGTGTTGAGTAATGTGTGCTTGTGAATGGTTGATTGAGGGTAGGGAGTGGTAGGGATTTGAGATCTCTGAAGTTCCTGGGATGCCTGCTCCAAAAAATGGAGGCTTTTGCCCTGCCGATCGGGAGGGCGTGGGATGGCGGGGTTGACTGGACCAGCTGCTGGCTGGGCTCCAAGCTGGGAGAGTTGAGCCTTAGGGCAGAGCTGAGGGCCCGAGTGGCTCTCAGCTTAAAGGATCTTGGCTTAAAAGGAATGTGTAGTGGGCTGCCTCTGCTCAGGAGGGGCTAAAAAAAGCCTCCGCTTCCCCTGGGCTTTGTGTGAGGGTTATCAACTGCCCATGTCAGCTCATCTCTCTGGCTGCGGTGGCATTTTTGCGATGTTGTTTTCCCGGCCCTCCTGGGTGTCCACCAATTGGCAGCCTGCCCCAGAGGTGGAGGCCGAGGGGAGCGAGGTGTACATGTAGGAGGGGGCTGGTAGCTCCAAACCTGGTGACAATGCACAGTTGTCAGCTGTACCCTGCTGGGGTTTCTTCCTTTTATAGTCAGCAGCAGTTGCTGTTGCTCTTACCCAGCCCCTCTGCGGGGGGCTCCTGCCCAGATAAAAGGGAAGGAGTTGGCCCACTCTCCTATCTCATCTCTCAGGAGCTGCTTGCGTCGGCGTATCTTGGTTCTTCTCTGAAGTTCCCAGTGAGACAAGATGCCTCCCAAGAAGCCTGAACCTAAGAGGGACATGGCCAAGCCAGCCCCAGCTGCTGCCCCAGCCCCTGCTCCAGCGTCAGCTCCTGAACCTCCCAAGGAGCCAGCCTTTGACCCCAAGAGTGTGAAGGTAAGCGAGGCTGAGCCAGCGGGGTGGGGTGGGGATGACACTCAGGATCCTGTTTGCCCCGGAGCTTAGAGATCTACCCGGAGTGTGAGTCCTGTGTGCCCATGCCCCCGTCACAGCCCCACAGGCCAGTGGAAACGGGCATCTTGCGTCACAGGCCTCTTCCCTGAGGAACAGGGTGTTGTTCTATTTAAGGAGGCCCAGCCTCGTCACCTCAGATTTGTCCAGAGTCGGGTACGGTAGGAAGTGTGACTGGCCAACTGTTTAGCCTCTTAAAAGGCAACATAGGGGCCACCATAGTGAAGTAAGGGAGACTGACCTTTCCCCAGGAGGTGGTAGGACATCTTTATGGAGAACAGACACGCAGTGATAGCTGCTAGTGTAACCTGGAATGTAAGTAGTGCGGGTGGGGGAGCCCTTCTGTGCCGGGATCTGGGAAAGGCTTCACTCACAAACGTTCTTTTGGCGGGTGTGGAGTGGGAAGGGGGCTGTGGATAAGGTACAGGAGCCTGAGTCCCTCTCTCCTTCTATCCCTGCCCAGATGGGCCCCTCCTTTTGTGGCCTCAGTCTGGCCTCCTCTCTGGCTTGCGGCAGACTGGCCCACGCCTGGACGAGGGAGCTGGGCCTGCTGCCCCCGGCCCCCGTAGGTTGTTACCTCCCTGCCCCACCCTGTTCCCTCACACTGAATCCAAAACCATTCCTTCAGTCAACAGATATTTTTTGAGTGCCTACTATGTGCCAAGCATGTCAGTGAACAGGTAGAACACTATCTGCCTTCTACGAATCCTGGCTTGAAGAAGACGATATACTGAGGAACCTGCTGGCTGAGTCAGCTATTTTAGGCCTCCCAGCTCTCTGGCCCAGCTGCTGAAGGAATGAAGTGTGAGGGGGTGGGCTGTGAGGGGCGGGGTCGGAAGTCTCTGGAGAGGAGCAGTTTTAAGCCTTGGCACCAGAATGGGACAGGTCAACTGGCAACTGGTAGGAAAAGTTATTAATAGCAGGCTGGGAGTGGCGGGCCCCTTGGGATCTCAGCCTTTGAGCAGGGCTGGGGCTGGTGAGGAATTCGGTAAAAATGAGAAGGCAGGACCAGTTTCCATGACAAATAGAGGGAACCGAAAGCCTAGGGCTCTAAATGCGTGAACCTTTCAGGATTCCCAGCCACCATAGCAGGGATATCCTACAATGACTGTGTCTAAGATCTTGTGATTGAGCCATAGCAGTCCTCACAAGGGGCAAGAGTTAAACACAATAGACTTGGCCAAGGAGTGGAGGCAATTGCTCGTTTCTGTGGCTCCCTCTGGGGAAGCTGAGGTGAGTATTAAGACCTTGAAGATAACTGAGGTTTTTGTGTCATATGTTGCTCCCTCTGTGAGCTAAGCCTGGCAAGAGAAGCTGGCCATCTGCCCCCGGGACCCTTCCTTGCCTTTGTTCCTGATTTGTTCTGATAAAAGCACCTGATCCCTGCCTGATCCCTGATTTGTTCTGATAAAAGCACCTGATCCCTGCCTGATCCCTGGCGTGTAGGAAACAGCTGCCCGACGGCCTTAAGTGGGTGTTCTCCCATCATGTCCCTCCATCCACCGTGTCTTCCAATTTCCCATCCTTGGTTGCGGTTTTCTTTACTATATCTGCATCTTCAAATCTGGGGGTCACTGAAGTTGCCTTAAAGTAGGAAAAAAAATCAGCATCTTTCATGTGGGCCACTTTCCCCATTATTATATTCCTCAGTTCCTGTGCTTATGAAATTCTTTGCGCAGCGGATCAGAAGTAAACCCTAGCCCAGTGTGTGTGGCTGCAATCGTACAGTCAGAGTTTATGCTTTTGCACTAGCTTGTTTACTCCTGGGCACGATGCACTGCAAAGTAAGGCACACCGCACCGCTGCCCCGGAGTTAACGCAGAGCATCTTTTACCCCACTTTTAACTTCCTTGCCGCTACCCCAGTTCCCGCATTTGGCAAACGCCAGTCCTGGCCATAGATAGTTTCATTCCCGAGCCTTTTTGGAGCTCATGCCAGCCACCTCCAGGAGCCCTCATCACGGAACTCAGTTCCGGGAGGTGAGAAGGGCGGGCACAGCGGGAGAGGCAGAATTAGGGGTAGCCGTGCAGCATGGGAAGAAGGTGCTCTGGAGGTGTTACCCACCACCCCGGGAAGACGAGGAGACGGGCTGGGCTGGGGTGGGGCGGGTGAGACAGTGAGGGAACATGACAGGTCCTGACTGAAACGACGCCTCACGCTTGGCCACTGCCGTTCACGTCCAGAGGCTCCCATTTTCCTCTCGTGTACTCAGCAGGAACTATTACGCAGGATGAAATCCAACATCCATCCCTTCTTTCAACAGGTATTTTTGAATGCCTACAATGTGTCAGGCATTTCAGCGAGCAATAACAAAAGCAGGTAGATTTGCAGTGAGCGTCAAGTGGAAAGGGGTCCCGGGGTGGGGAGAGGTGGGCGCCCAGAGCAGGAAGAGATGCAGCGTGTGGGAGAACTGAGATCAGGGAGCCGCTGAAGGGGGAAGGGGAGTGAGCTGATGGCCACGGCATGGAGAAGTTACCTTGGGCCAGGAGGAATGACAATAGGGAGTCGTGGTAAATTCTAGAGTTATCCAGGTTAGTTCTTGCTCTTCTCCTGTCCTGGTACTGAGGGAGCGTCGGAGGCTGCTTTATTTAGAGTGTATAGTGGGGTTTTACACTCAGACTGCTTCCTCAGCGTCCGCGGCCCACCGGAAGTGCCTGGGCCTCTGTCTGGAAGCCTCCAGGGTCCCAGTCTTCACCTCTCTTTTTCCCTCCCTGCAGATAGACTTCTCCGCCGACCAGATTGAAGGTGAGCATGCACAATTCCGCATTCTCCTCTCGGGTGCACTTTCCTGGACAAGGAGAAAAGGAGGAAGAGAAGGCGTTCTTCTTGTCGTTGTGGTGATAGTAATCATTGTAATCAGCACAAATCTATAGTGAGCACTTACCATGTGCAAGGCCCAGTCCTGAGTACTTTATGTGGATTAACTCATTATAATTCTTGTATGAAAGAGTAACGTTCCTACCCCCACTTACCAGGTGATAAGACTAAGGCGCTAGAGTGTATTCCAATTTAGGCATCTGATTCCAGATCTGTGTTCTTGACTGCGTTGCTCGACTTCTTGGAACTTTGTAGATTCTGAACAAATGTTACTGCCTTTTTTCCTTTACCAGTGACGTCTACCCGAGACATTTGGGAGTTCTCGTGTCTGTTCCCATTATTAGAAAGCCCTCCTTGGGTTACCAGCTTCCCCTTGCCTCATCACGAAGTTTGCCAAGATGCTCACACACTGATGGTGGCAGGGCCTATGGGTATCTGTCGGTGGCCTAGTCCACCTGTGACCTCCACCAATGACCCTTCTCTCTCTCTCTTTCTCTCTCTTTTTTTTTTTTTTTTTTTTAAGGAGGGAAGGTTTATTTGGCTCACAGTTTGTGGAAGTTTTAGTTCATAGTTGACTGGCTCCAACCAGGGTGGCACGGCAGAGGGCCGCTGAAGAGCCTTCTCTATCTTTGATGGGATGAGTTATGTCTTCTCAATCTTATATAGAATGTTATTAAATGTAACCTCAAGAGAAGTCTTGAAATCTCCCACTCTCACAACCCAAGTAACCCTTAGCCGTGCTTCTGTAGGAGTCCGGTATTTCAAGAATAAAATGCTTTACTTTATGATAGTTATGTGTTGTCGTTGGAACTTATCTTTCCGTTTCCCCCACTAAGTGTCTCCAGGATAGAAAAATCATAGGAGTTGGAAGACACTTTGAAGCACCACCTGATTCAATGCCTTCACTTTAAGCACACACCCTGTCTTAAAAGTAAATTAATATAAACACATGATGCAACAAAAAATAACAAAAGTATATTAAAAATAAATAATAAAAGTAGTTTTCTCATACTGACCCCTCTCTCAAAGACAATCACTGTTAAGTCTCTATGTAGCCTTTGAGAAAAATATATAGTGATACAGAACTACATGTGAATGTATAAAATGTACATACATATGGAGCCATGTGATATATACCATCGTGTACCTTTTATTAACTGTGAACATTTGGATTTAATAATATATAAAATACTATTTAATAATCGGTTTGGGTGTCTTTTCATAATTACCACAAACCGTTCTACTTTATTCTTTTAAACAGTGGTGCAGAGTTTTACACATGGATATACTCACATATCCAGGACTACATTGTAGATCTTCTGATTCCTCCTAGTTGGGAAATGCAATGTGTTTCCCTAAGCAAGCCTCCCAGCAGTGGGTGAAAGGCTGTGTGCGTTTAGTTGCAACAGCTATTACCGAATTGTCCTCCAAAGAAGTGACACCACTTTATCCAGGAATAGAGTATGAGATCTGGCACCTGGATTTTGAAACTAGTGAATTGGATCTACTGTTGTTGTAATAACCTGTGGAGAGTCACTTTCAGTCAATAGCTTTGGAGGTGCTGTGAAGTTGTTAAAGTTAATTTTAGTGTATTTTAATTCAGTATTCTTTTGCAGATATACAAACTACACAACACAGCAAAGACCGGAAAACCAACTAATGATAGAAAAGATTTCATTTTCCAAACGGGAATGGTGGTTACAGCCAAGTGGGACAGCTGGTGGAGCTTTGCTTTGCCTGAAAGCTTTTAGGGATGGGGCGGGTGAATCTCCTAATTTTGAAGATGTTTTCCCTTGCGTGGGATCAGAATTGCTTCTTCTTTGATTTTACCCCTGTTGCCACCGTATTTGTTCTTGATAAAGCTGCTGCTGACTTTTTACTAGTGTTACCTCGGAGAAAAATTCTTTGGGAATCAGGAGATTGTTATGTTACCTCATATTCTGCCACTATCGACCATAAGGCTTTGAGAAAATTATGTCTTTAAAGCTTAATTTTTTTACCCGCAAAGTGACAAGTTTTAGTTCTCTTCAGTTCAGAAATTTGGTGGCCGGTTAGCATGTTCCACCTTCCATCAAACGGAAGTGTACTTCCCGTTTGTTTGGAGACAGGTTTCAAACCCCTCCTTAGTTTCATATTCTTTAGATGACGTGGCCTCAGTTTCTTTTACGCTTTTTTGTCCTCGTGGGATATAACTTCACCTTCCTCCTCTTCCTCCTCCTCCTCCTTCCTCCTCTTCAATTTTATTTGGAGAAAGAGTCTCACTAAGTGTCCCAGGCTAACCTCAAGCTCATGCTCCCGCCCTCTCCGCCTCCTGAGTGCCGGGATGAGGAGCGAGACCTGCCGTATCTGATTTCGGAGCCAGCTTCTCACCTCCGACTTCCTTCTCTGGCCCTTCCTCAGGTTTCTTTATCTTGCTGGGACGGACTCATTGTTCTCTGAGGCAGCTGGCCAAGCTCTTACAGATTATTGAGTAAAGGGTTCTTCTGGACCCATGTTCAGTCTCTAACACTGCTGGCTTTGTTTTTTCCTAGAAATAATACTAAACTTTGGTGTTTGGCTTCTATATGCACACAGGGCTTTCTGGCAAGTTCCCAGGTAGCCAGCTGGAGCACTAGCTGGCACGGAAAGCTGGCTTCTTTCTCCTCCCGTTTCCTCCCGCTACTTCCTTGGTTTTTCTGAGTCGGTTAGCAGTCACATCTGCATTGCCTTATAAATGAGGGTAGCAATACCTATAGTCTGAAGTATTTGTAAAGATTAATGAGGTAAAATTACCAGTTCAGGGCCATGGTGAGTGCTCAAATTATAGATCACTGCTTATTATTTTCTCTTTCATATTCTAGTCTCTTATTTATCATCTTTGTAGCTGAAGAAAGTCCCGCTTTTGTTAAATCTGGCTTTGTCTGAACGAATTAGGAGATTAGAAAGTCTGAATTCAGAGTCAGCTAATAAATACATATGAATTGAAGGCAATTTGTGGCAGACATCATGCTAATTTTTTTAAATGTTAAAAAAGTTAAAGTCCAAACTGGGTCAAGTGGCACACACCCGTAACCCCGGCACTTGGGAGACTGAGGCAGAGAGATCGTGAGCTGGGGCCAAGCCTGTGCTACATAGCAAGTTCCAGCCCAGCCTGGACTACATAGCAAGACCCTGTCTCAAAAATCAGAAAACCCAAATCCTCCAAGCAAAAAAATTAAATCCTTATAACAAGGCTGTGAGGTAGTTGTGTTTCCTTTTTACATCAAGATTTAATGAGATAAAATGAGTTCCCCAAGATCACAAAATAATAAAATTGAGATAAAATTCAGTCAGATGATACACCATTATGCGATCACTACTATGTTCTGGGCATTGTGCTAAGGTTTTACGTACATTACTGTATTTGCATGCATTATAGCATTAGCTTGAGTATCATTCAATATCACCTATGAGATATCATTCAGTATCACGTCCCCACCTGGATCTAATTCAATATCACCTATAGAAGAGGTTTATAGAGGTGAAATGTTTCCTTTCCTAAGGTCATGCAGCTAATAAGCAATACATATGGAATTTGAATTCATTTATTCAATAATGTGAAAGACATTTTTATATTCTGAATCCATGCCTAGTAAAGTATTGTAAGTAAGGGGCTGGGAGAATCTGCTTTGACATGTAGAATCATTTGTGTATAATTCATGTATGATCTCTAAGCAAACAAGCATTTCTAAAGTACTTGGAAAGGATTAAAAGCAGCTTTTCTCCTAAGTACGCTGCACATTATTGGTTTATATTGTTAATCTGCTTATTTAATCACTTCTCTGTGAGTAGCATAAAGTAGCTTGTCCACTCCCAGTCCAAAATATCCCCACTAATCAATCGGTTGAATTCAAATTAACAAGGAATTAAGGCTCTTAACCAAGGACTCAGGAGTGCCTCAGTTGGACCTTGTCCCTTGGACTCCAGTGCTGCTACTTGCGAGGAGTTCAGTCTTCATAGTGCTGGCCTGGCTTGGGAACTGGGCTCACCGTAACTGCCAGGTGTCCGTTCCCGAGACACCCTGTTGGCCCCGCACTCAGCGATCCCCACCTGGATCTAAGAAACGGAGAAGCCATAGAGCTTGGCAGTTTGTCCGAGCTAACATCCAGGTGGGTGGCAGAGCTGACGGGGTCTGACAGAGGCCACAGTGCCGCCGTGGCCGGCGTGGGAGCTCTCCTTCAGTTTGGAGCAGGCAGTGCTGATAAGAGCTCACTTCTGAGCAGGGCTTATCACTTTGCCTGCGCATCCCATCACCTCCTTTGACACTCACGGGAGAAGGAGAGGGGGGTGGGGTAGGGCTGTCACTTCCGTGTGTGCACAGAGAAACTGAGACCCGGGGTGTTTCAGGGTGAGAACCCAGGAGCTGCTATTTCCGTAGTCAGGAGCCTTGCCTACATCGGCGAAGAATGAGGGGACCGAGGCGGGAGGTGACATTCACACTGTGTAACAACTGGCAGAAGAGCGCATAGGCTGGCCCTGGGAGAGGTCTTGGAGGCACCAGGCTACATCTTTATTGTCAGGAGAGGAAGCGGGAGTGAGTTTCAAGGAAAGCCTGGGACAGTGGCTGAAGGGCAATATATTGACACTTTAAAACTTTCCCCCTGTACTAGGGCTTGGACCCAGCCAGGGCCTTGTCGCTGAGTACATTTTCAGCTTTTTAAAGACTTAAAACATTTTTATGTTAAATTTTGAGACAAGGTCTCATTAAGTTGCCCAGCCTGGGCTGGAGTTTGGGATCCTCTTGCCTCAGCCTCAGAGTTCTGGATTATAGGCCTGTGCCACTACTCCCAGGCGAATATTGACATATGGTAACTGCTGCATGGACCTACTGTTCAGCCAGGGCGGAGGCCGCGCGGCCCCCGCCCACCATCCTCTCTCCTCTGCAGAGTTTAGAGAGGCCTTCTCGTTGTTTGACCGGACCCCAGTTGGAGAGATGAAGATAACCTACGGGCAGTGTGGGGATGTGCTGCGGGCCCTGGGCCAGAATCCCACCAATGCCGAGGTGCTGCGTGTCCTGGGCAAGCCCAAGCCGGAAGGTCAGTGTGGGTCCCTGGCTAACCCAGTCCTAGTGTGCTGTCGTCCGTGCAGCCTGGATTGGTCTGGATTTGTCTCCCCTCAGCCACATTCTCTCTTCTTCCCGTTATCCCTTTAGACAAGCCTCTCCTACCCAGGTTGCCCGTGCCCCATTTTGAGAACCTACCTAGAAATCCTGATACTTAGTTGATCCTTGAAGAATGTGGCCAGGGTTTGTTTTTGTTCCCTGGATGAGACTGGGAGTTCCAGGGGAGATGAGGTGGGGCTTGAAGGGACGGCTACCTCTTCAGTGTCTCTTGTCACATGTCGCCCTCTGCTGCTATCCACATTCTCCTCCAAGATGCCAGGGACATGGCCATGGACAGGAAGGCTGGGTGGGAATCTGATCACTAACCATCCACCCACCTCCCAACTGAAGCTCTTACATGAGGTGTCTATCACAGTACTGTGTCTGTAATCCTTGTGAGTTGTGTCAAAAACCGCTTTGTTTCAGCCAGCTGCAGTGGTGTGTGCCTGTAATCCCAGCACTTGTGGGGCTGAGGTGGAGGATCACCGTGAGTTCAAGGCCAGCCTGGATTATAGGGCAAAACCTTGTCTCAAAAACCCAAATCATCTTATTTACTCTTTCAGCTTCTCTAAAATGTACAATAGACACTGTAAAATGGGAAGAAACTTCAAAAGGAAGGAGAAACTGGGCGGGGGGAATGGAGAAAAGCAGGAAGGGAAAAGCAAAAGGAAAAAAATCTATATAAAAGATAGTTAAGGGGGCTGGAGATTTAGCTCAGCGGCACAGCGCCTGCCTGGCAAGCACAAGGTCTTGAGTTTGATTCCTGGTCCCGGAATCAAACACAAAAAACAAAAAAAAAGATAGTTAAAATAGCTGTACTACTAATTTCTCTTAGTTCATTGAAAAGAAAGGTTTGTGCTAATATTGTTTGGACAATTAAATGCCAATATCTCATACTCTGAGTAACTAAAGATAACAATACACGGTATATTAACCTTTGATACCCTCCTGTCATCTTGCTTTGAAATTTTGTTTTTCTTTAAAATAAAATTATAAAAAAAACAAAAACAACAAAATGAAACAAAACAAACAAAAAACCCCATTTTGTTTCTAATAATGGTTAGAGCACTGAAAGTGGGAAATTATTCCTTTAAATTATTTGTTTAATATAAATTAGCACATGGGGCCAGGGATGTAGCTCAGTGGCACAGTGCCTGCCTGGCAAGTGCAAGGTCCTGAGTTCGATTCCTGGTACCAAAAAAAAAACCCCCAAAAAACGCAGCTTCAAGATTAACTCTATAATGAAGACTTTTGCACTCATTTGTGCCGAAACTTGATGCATTTTGGTGAGTGGGCATTTAGAAAGTTTAGGGAGTATACATATTCCATTTATAAGTGCATTCTACCAGCTGCAGCAGTAAAGTTAACAACTGCTCCGCAGCACATAGCTCCAGGGACCAGGTCGCCCCAGGTAGGAGTCCCAGCAGGGGTGGACTGTCTCCAGAAGCTGCTTGGGACTCATATTGACCTCCCTGCCCTCCTTGGTTTTGGCTTCTTTCCTTTCTCCTCTAGCTGGAGATACCAGTAGTTTGAGGGTGACTGATGTGGGCAGGAAAGGCCCTGTAGGCAGCGCTTCCTGTGAGTCAGGAGATAACCTGGGCTCCTTCCATTTTAGGGGGTTCGTGAGTGCTTGGAAAAGAAATACATGCCAACATTTGTGGTATTTGAGATTTTTAAAAAAATCTATTTAATTAAAGCTTTCAGCACACTACAGTGTGGGGAAAAGAGTGCTATTCACAAGTAAAAGGCAAATTTATGAAAACTATTGATTCCAAGCGTTTCAGGCACTGTGGTTTAGTAATAGTACTAAATAATACAGAGTTATGCAAACATTTAATTTTATTTATTTATTTGTTTATTTATTTATTTATTGCTTTGCTGGGGATCAAACCCAGGGCCTTGTACATGCTAGGTAAATACCACTGAGCTGGTCCTTCAGGTCAACATTTAATTTTGTCCTTTCTACCAGTTTACCTCTGTGACTGACCATCTGTCATATGCAAAAGTCTACATTGTAAGTGTGAAGCCTGCCTGTGGGGCCCTTTGGGCCACTCCAGTCTTGCTGTGGCCACCCTCAGCTCCTCTGCCCATCTGGCCACCTGGAGCTCAGAGGTCTGGAGGGATTGACAGTTCCCTTTTTCTTCTGTTCTACTCCTTTCACTGGGCCCCAGTGCCTAAGTCTCCTAAGTTCCATGTCTCTTACTTTGTTCCAGCGGGCGGCTCTGTGCCCTCCGGGGCCACTGCCTGTGTGTCCCATCTAGAAGCAGCTGCAGCATAAGCTCTGGATCCTGCTAGGCTGGGGCGAAGCTCCTGCTTGGCCCTTTGTGCCCCTGAGTGGCCACTCATGTTGCTTTCTTTGTCCCTTCATGTGTGCCGGAAGAGATGAATGCCAAGATGCTGGACTTTGAGACATTCCTGCCCATCCTGCAGCACATCTCCCGCAACAAGGAGCAGGGCACGTACGAAGACTTCGTGGAGGGGCTGCGCGTCTTCGACAAGGAGAGCAACGGCACCGTCATGGGTGCCGAACTTCGGCATGTCCTTGCCACCCTGGGTATGCCACGGGGGCAGAACTGAAGCCAGTGTGGGAGGGAGGGTGGACGGAGGGAGGGTGACACGTGTTGGAGGGGGAGGTAGCCAGGGTCCCTGCAACCATCCGATCGCGTCCTAATCCAGGGCCCTTTCTCCGGAACTCTGCAGGAACAACCTCCCCAGCTGGGTTTGCTTAGCAGTGCTGGGGTTTGGGAGAGGGCCGCAGCTGGCAGAGCAGGGGTTATTCTTGAGACCTGGAAGGGGGGCTTGGGGCATCTGTCCTTGTCTTTACCTCAGTTAGATGGCCCTTTACCTCAGTTAGAGCTTGAGAGCTTTCAGGGAGTAGGCAGGGCCTTAGGACCCTTGGGCTTGCCCTCAAAAGCCTTTGGGAGAGCCTTGACACGAACCTCCTCCAGATCTAAAGTCTTAGACCTGCATACTCAGCGGGTACTTGTTCCTGTCCCTTATTTGCCATTTGTAATAAAAAGTCCGTCATCCCCCAACCCCGTCCCAGGAGAGAAGATGACTGAAGCCGAAGTGGAGCAGCTGCTGTCTGGGCAGGAGGATGCCAATGGCTGCATCAATTACGAAGGTACCCGGCAGCCTTGCTCCGCAGGGCGCCCGGGGGTGGAGCGCGGGCAGGGCTCGGGTGGGGGGGCTGGAAGGTGAAGGGTCAGGCGGGCTTGGCTGAGTCCCTGGGAACGCTGTTCTTTTCCTCTTGGGACACCCTGCTGTAGCGGGAGAAGGCTGCATTTTGAAGCCAGCTCTGCGATATGCTTGCTGGGTGACCTTGCTTCTGTCGCGTATCTTCTCTGAGCCCCTGAGCTTCAGTTGTCTCCTCTGAGCAAGGAGGGCTACGCTAGCACTTTCCTCAGGGTTGTGTGTATTTGTAGGAATAATGCAGCTCATTCGTCTATGTGGAGCTTCAGCAGAAAAAGTGGACACAGCAGAATTTAGGTTTTTTCCTCTCCCACTTCCTGCCCACCAACCCTCAAAGAAGAGAGAGATTCACAGTCTGGAGAGAGGGTGTTGGAGTTTGAAAAGCAGGGAAGAGGGAGGCAGCTCGAGAGGTGGAGGGGGAGCGCAGAGCTGAGGGGGCTGCGTCAAGTGGCCGGCTGATGTTTACTTTTCCCCCTAGCCTTTGTCAAGCACATCATGTCTGGGTAAAGCAGATTCCTGCAGAGTAAGTACAGCGTCTCCCGCCTGGCCCCGCAGGAGACCTGGGGACAAAGCCCCTGCCCGAGGGGTCTCCTGCCATAGGCCTGGACCCCGAGAGAGAACTGCGTGGGGTCAAGGCGTGCGAGTAGCTGGGCCCACCCGTTTCCCTTGCTCTCCTGCTGCTGGCTCCTGCCCTCGCTCCCTTCCCGCCCTGCCTCCCTGTGTCGCCGGCTTTCTGTCCCATCTTGACCCTTACTGTCGCATGCTCCTGCCTCTCTCTGAGTCTGCCAGGCCCGGGACCCCCGCATAGGCTCTTGGGTATGAAAAGTCACATCCCAAGGAGAAGAGAGAAAGTGTTGGGAGCCTGTGTTCTTGACCCTGTTCCTCTTTGCTTCATTCCCTGGGCTCCGCTGGTGCAGTGCCATCCCAGTGGTGGTAAGGGGATGGGTAAGGCTGGGGTAAGGGGCTGGATGGAGGAGCGTGACATGCCTTTTCCAGGTAGCACTTTCTTTCAGGTGCCTGGAAGGTTAGCAAGAGGCCCACAGTGACTGACATGGAGTCCTGGACTTCTCACTGCGCCAGCCCAAGGACCTTCCAACCCTGAGCCCTTCTGGTAAATAAATAGCTCCAGCAAGGCTGGGCCAGCTTCCCTGATTCTGACCTGTCTCTGAGCTGTCTTTTAAAAACTATTTAATTAATTAATTTGATACCTGTGCCTGTGTAAGATTTTCACCTGAAGCCTCTGGAGTACTCAGAGCTGGGAGACAAAAGCCAAAGGACTGGATCGCCAGGTGTGGTGGTGCATGCCTGTAATCCCAGCACTCAGGAGGCTGAGGCAGGAGAATCGTTGTGAGTTTGAGGCCAGCCTGGGCTACAAAGTGAGCTCAAGGCCAGCCTGAACTGCACAGTGAGACCCTGTCCCAAAAAAAAAAAAAAAAAAAAAGCCTGTGGATCTAGAAATATTGGGGTCAGAAACACGAGTGAGAGCCCCGAAGGGGTCTGTAAATAGAGACCTCTCTACCTCACTCTCTGCCTCACTTAACCCCCAGGTTGGGGCCAGGAAGGGGGACACGAGGAGCCGGTCAGGGATTTCTCAAAGGGCCCTTGCTGTTTCTTCTTTCTGTACTGGGAACTGAACTCAGGGCCTCATGTGTGGTAGGCATATACTCTACTGCTGAGCTAGCTAGATCTCCAGATCTTTTAAATTTATATTAGCTTTTTTTTTTTTTTTTCTTTCCTTGAGGTGATGTGTTGCTATCTAGTTCAGGCTGGCCTTGAACTTGTGGTGGTCCTTCCACCTCAGCCTACTGAGTGCTGGGACTACAGACATGTGTCACCACACCTGCCTTAATTTGATTTTATCTTGAAAACAAGGTCTTTCTAAATTGCCCAGGGTGGCCTTGAACTGTGATCCTCCTGACTCAGTCTTCCAAGAGGATGGAATTTCAGCTGTGTGCCACCACACCTGGCTATTCTTTTTTTTAAAGATTGTAAGATTGGGGGGTATAGTTAAGGGTAGAATGTTTGTCTAGCATACATGAGATCATGAGTTTGATCCCTAGCGCGCACGCACACACACACACACTCACACACACACACACACACACACACACACACATATACAGGGGTAAAACACATACATTTTAGCATTTTAACCATTTTTCAGCATACAATTCAGTAGTGTTAAGAATATTCACAGGCCAGCCTGGGCTACATAGTGAGACCCTGTCTAAAAAAAAAAAAAAATTCATATAACCTGTATGTGTTATCCTAGCACTTTGGGAGGCTGAGGCAGGAAGATTTCAAATTTGAACCTAGCCTGGGTAATTTAGCAAGATCCTTCCTCAAAATAAAAAGGGCTGTGGATGTGGCTCAGTGGTAGAGTCCCCTTGAGATTGACACCTAGCAGCAGAAACAACAATGACAAAATCACTGAGGTGCAGGGGACAAAATGTCTACGGCTGAGGGGATGAGGCACTGTACTCCAGCTTCTGGATCTTCTAACTGGATGTCTTGGATGGGGCACAGCTGGGAGATCAATGATTTAGTCAGACCTTCTACACTTGATCTTAGCCAAAAGGCTGAGAAGCGATAGTCAGACCTTCTAAAATATAAAAATAAATAAATGGATCCTTAGAGGCCCGATGATAACCAGCTAGTAGAAATTAAGAACAGACCTCTTGAATCCATTTATATATATAACTTTCAACACATCAGTTTATCTGTGAAATTCTTGCCAAGCTTGGCTTTTGGAACCTTCTCTCATTTGTCCCCTACCTTTTGACTGCCCCTTTCCCATCTTCCTTACTACTCATTTTCCAGATTAAGTTTTTGATTTGTGGTGCTGAAGATTGAACACAGGGCCTTGTACGTACGATGCAAGAGCTGTGCCAGCAAGCTGCCCCCTTTCCTCCACTCCTCCCGCTACTTGAAATGCCAAACTCTGCCTCAGGGTCGGGACCTTGACAGGTTTGCCTGTCTCACTCTGTCCCTTCATTACTTTAACAAGGACATCCACTTGTCGAATTTATTTTCCACTATCTGCATTTATGAAGAACTGGAGTCAAGTCTCCCAATGATTAAAAAAAGAAAGCGTGTTTTCCCTGATAGTAGCCTACAGTCCTATAAGGTAAGGACACAAGCATTCAGGAACCGACCAGGGAATGACCTCCGAACGGCGTAAGAGTGGCTCCATCTATATAATGCAGTGTAGGTGGTGAGCAGCAGTAAGAACAGGCAGCAGGAGGAAGTGAGGTGTAACAAGGAAATTTTTCTTTGGGAGAGTGTATCAGTCAGTGCTTGCTAGAGGAACACATTTAACACAGGTATACAAAGATGTAAGAATTGCAAGGTTGCCTTCCAGCGGCCATCCACAGAGTCGGGTGTGGAAGAATGCAAAAGGTCCGTCTGTGCGCTGGGGACCCGAAGGACCCAGCTGGAGCTCCCTGGAGTGTTTTGTGCGAGTCCATACCAGGAGACCTGAGGGTCTGTGATGGAAGGTTGAAGGGTCCGTGCGGGAGGCCGAAGGGTCTGCGCGAGAAGCCAGGAGACGATGTCCAAGGTAAAGAAGCCTGCAGGTCCTCTGAAGAGACAGCAGCAACCCTTCTTTCTTGGTTTCCTTTTTGTACCATTCTGGCAATAATCCTCCCTAGGGTGGAGCTTCTACCCCCAGAACGTGCTGAGGCAACTTAGTTGAGTGTTTCTTTCTCTAACTGACACATCAATCAGCCATCACAGAGGGCTTTCAGGGAGGTGTTTAAGGAATACATGGCCCAGGGATGGTGCTCATGCCCAGGGCCTAGAAGGGGCTCAACGGAGGTTATTCCTTGCTCCTCACTTCACAGACACGGACTGAGAACCTGCTGTGCGTGTCGCTCTGGCGCAGGCCTCGAGAACGTACCGAGACATACACGTGTGATCCCCATCCTCACGGAGCTTATAATGTGGTGAGAAGACGAGTATTAAACAGTTATAGTCACGTGATACATAACAAACACAGCAGTTACTGAACGCAGTGTCCATTGGGATCATTTTCAGCTGTGAGTTCTGGGTACCAATAAGCGATGGCGTCAAGGAAATGGAAGTGCATTTCTCCCTCCCATAAAAGACCAGAGGCGGACGGTTGAGGGTGGCGTGACATTCTCTCTCCACAGTCACTCTCCACAGAGGCCTCCGTCATCACCACAGCTCATGGTCTCCGGTGGCGGCTCTGATGGAAGAACTCAGGAGCATTTCTCATTCAGTGGGCCTTTCTGGAGCCAGCTCTACCTACCTGAGACACCTGTCTCCTTCAGTAACACTGCACCTCCCTTTCCTGGGAGGTGGTACAGTACTTCCCAGGTTTTCCTTGCCTAGATCAACTTCCACTTATTTCCAGCCAGAATGCCCCCCGTGGGATTTGTAGGACTAGGACTGAGTGTTCTGAGGAGAGGAAGTAGTGTGCTAGCCCTGGGGAAGATTTAAGGAGGACTCTGGCCTGGAGCCCGCAACGGCTCCATCCTGATGGACTGATGGCAAGTGATGAGACACAGGCAGCTGCTTGAGTGAAGGGAACAATGGCCGCCTGTGCCCGTGGCTCTTGGCTCTGCTGCCCGGACACGGGACCCTAGCTTCATTCTCTGCGGACCTGTGCTGGGAGGCAAGCTGCCCGCTGCAAGCTAGGGAGGGTGGGTAGCTTCGTGGAAAGTTCCCGCTGACAGCAAACAAAGGGGACCCAGGGAAAGCCCTTGCTGATCTCCTGCCCACTCTGCTCCTTTCCCTCCTCCCCACTAAGGCACTGGGTGTGTCCTAGTTCCACAACTCCTGATAGAGCTCACAGCCCAGGGAGAAAAAATGGGTGAAGCCCTTCCTAGAGCGGAAGCGATCCTGAATGAGGCTCTGTAATGTTAGGTGAAGTGCAGGGAGATGACAGTAAGAGTGCTCTCACCTCACCGATCACCTGCTGTACCCCAGTCACTGTGCTCAGCATGTCACTGGTCACCCTTTTCTCGCAACCTAGAAGCGGGAGTTATTGTCCTCCTTTAAGAATTTAGAAATACCACCCAGGAAGAAAAATAGCAAGTTAAACTCTCAATTCATCTAGTTTTCCCCTCTACTCGAAGGGCATATTAATATTCCTAAAATCCCATGTTTATCAAATTGCTTCCTTTACTGGACCTACGAAAGCTCCTGATGGACTGCTGGGTCATTTCCAAGGTTCTCTATCTAGTTTCCAAGGCCTTCCTTTATTTCCCCTAATCTATTTGCCACAGCCTGCTGGTCTCCTTTCTCTCTGCTAGCTCCCCGCCGCCACCCTCTCCTCCTGCGCTCTCCTTGCCCCCACCACCCCTGGCTTCATTTCCTTCCTCCTGTGCGTTCCTTTCTGCCCGTTACAATTATGCTAACCTTTCAAGACCCGAGCAGGCTTTTCTTCCCTGGAGCTTTTCCTACTGCCACGAGTGAGCACTCCCCTCACACAGAGGTCTCAGCATTCGGGAGGGATAGCCACCGCCGGCTGTTTACCGCAGTCACCAGGCTGAAACTGAAGATGTCAGCTAGAGAGACCTTGGGGATTTCTAGGGTCAGGAATCACTTGAGGGCCGTGTGTAGCACTGCCCTCCTATTTAAAAGCGGGTTGCTAGGGTGCTTGAGGTAGACGGTTGGCGAAGGCTGCAGGCGCAATATCCGTCTCTCACCACCAGATGACACAATTGCCACGGCGTGCTGCTCTCAACAGGCAGCCGAGTGTTCTGACAACGAGAGGAAAACCGGTCCCAGCCTGGGCTCCGAGGAGGCTTCCGAATCCTTCAATGTATCTCTTTGCCTTCAGACACATGGAGATGGTGTTTTCCCTCAAACAAGCACAGCAGTTAGATATCTTGCTGCAGTGCCCCCGAGAAAGCCTTGTAATGCGGGTCACAGAGAGGACACCGCTGTGAACATGTGGATTCTTGGCGCCTGGCCCGGTTTTGCTCTTAAGTCACGTGTCCACTCTGCATTCGTTCTGAGCTACAAAGTGAGGGGTTTGATTAATGTCCCTGCCAGCTTTGATACCGATCACCGGGACTCACTGACTCCCACTGCTATGTTCAGGGATTTGTTTTAATCCTTATGGTGTATTTAGAACAGTAAGTGGTGGGTGTTATTCATTCAAAATAATTATTCAGTGCGCTGAAGTA